GAGTTGGATGCTTAACCGACTGAGTGACTCAGACACCCCCATCATGCCATACTCTTTTACTGGGAATTAAATGCCCTGTCTGAAATCTTTAATTCTTTCAAGTACTTCTGTATTTCCATTTTGTTATCTGAAGGTCTTGGGATTTTTAGCCCTGCTGTTTGTTGCTTTAAAAAGTTCTTTCATGGGGCGCCTGGGTGGCGCAGTCGGTTAAGCGTCCGACTTCAGCCAGGTCACGATCGCGCGGTCCGTGAGTTTGAGCCCCGCGTCAGGCTCTGGGCTGATGGCTCAGAGCCTGGAGCCTGTTTCCGATTCTGTGTCTCCCTCTCTCTCTGCCCCTCCCCCGTTCATGCTCTGTCTCTCTCTGTCCCAAAAATAAAATAAACGTTGAAAAAAAAAAAAAGTTCTTTCATGTCGGACTGTATCGTTATAGTTTTCCAAACTCCTTTTTTAGAGGAGTGTATTTTACTTCATTTTTCCGTGTGAACCATTTGGGTTATGTGTTGGAGGAATAGCCCTTGAAGTGATCCAGGTGCCCCCACGTCACTGCCATTTTTTATGTTAATGTCTCAGCTTGTTGGTTTTCAGTCCAGCTGTTACACTAAGGGTGCGGCCCTTCAAGGGTGCTCCGTTCCAACTCCCTGCCTCCTGTAGGCTAAAGGTAGTATCTCCTCTTTCCATGTGGACTTCAAAACACAAGCTATTAGGTTATGGAAACTGACAACTTTCTTAAAATACCTCAGTGTAGTTATTTCCCTTCTTGTTTCAGGCACTGGGTCATTAACACCAACCCCTCCTGCCCCTTTTTTTTCCTCTTCAGCTCAGCTGTATGTAGCAGAATTTCCTTCATTATCAGTCATTTCAGGTGTGGCCTATCCCATTGCTAGAGCCAGAAGTCAGTCTGCTTTCTGAAAACAGACAAGTCATTGGGTGATGCATAGTAGAGGCGGAACAAGCCAGTAAACTGACGAACCTGATGTAATTTGACAGATTGTACAAGTCAAATGGGTAGTGTGGGTCAGATCCACGGGGTTCCACGAGAGGCACGTAGCAAGATGGTAACAGATTAAATCTAAGGCGCTCTCAGGGTCAGAAGATCTTGGAGATGTGGTGTCAAGAATAGCCCAGAGTTGGGAAGGTCAGAGAAAGCAGTCTTCTTTACTAGAGGCTGCCCTGTTTCCGATTATGTATGGGAGCAAGCCGGATTTACAAGTATTCCCTGCAGGTACCCTTTGCTTATGTTTAAGGCCACAGTTCCTGGCTGGGGTTCTGAAATATTTTCCATATGTCCAGTACCATTTCAGGCATTAGCTTTCAAACTTTCTAGGCGGAAGACTTCTTTAAAAAAGTTCTGTGAGCCCTTGACAATACTTGGAGGATATAGCCTTCCTCCCCACCCACCACCCGTGGAAAGGGCAAGGCCCTTTTTGTACTTCTGTACTTGGTGGCCAGACGTCGTCTCTGCTGGTGGGCAGGGTGCATCAGAGCATCTGTGCGGCCGTACTTGGTTTGGCGTATTTTGATTTGTAGAAATATTCAAACGACAAAGTTATTGTCGACCAACCTCACATCTGAGTTATAGTACTTTCCTTTCCTCTTGCTTGCAGGATATTTCTCTCTGGATGTCTTTCCGTCAACTCACAGCAAACATCTCCCACACGGAACTCCTCATCTCCTACAGATAGGCTTTTTCGTCTGCTTTTCCCTCCTTTTTTACATCTTGCTTTTTATTCACTCGGGTCTTTAGGTGCAAAACCTGTCCCTTCCCAATTCATCCTCCTAGTTCTTTGCGTTCTTTTATTCTCCATCTCACATTTAGTACTCCTCAGGTTCCAGGACCATGAGTCGTTAATAAGAACTGATAATCTGATATATACTTATTATCATGCGCGGTGAGTGGGGAATCAAAAGAATCAAAAGACATGATCATTGTCTTCATAGAACTTAATATCTACTTGAGGAGACAACTTACATTCACGAAAATAGTGAATAATACTAGACAGTATATAATTAAATGCTAAATTGGGTGGTACAGAGTTTTAAGAGTTGGAAGGTGGAGGAAAGGAAAGGGATAAAAGGAGGGCTTGAATTGTAAGAAACCTTAATTGTGGAACGGGGCTTTGAACTGGGTCTTGAAACACCTCAGTTGGAATCGGACAGGAGTTTAAAGTGAAGAGAAAGCATAGACAATTAGTGAGTACAATTAGTGAGCATGGGGTTTTTGGAAAACATTTGAGGCTCTGTATGTGATAGGGACCAGTGAGAAATAGGAATTAGTTTGGGTGACTGCTTTGACTCTGGCTATGAGACTACCAGAAGAATCTTTCAAAAGTAGCATTTCAGTTTTTACCAGGGGGGGGGGGGGGGCGACAGAGAGAGAATCTTTAAGCAGGCCCCACGTTCAGTGCAGAGCCTGATGCAGGGCTCGATCCCATGACCCTGGGCTCATGACCTGAGCTGAAATCAAGAGTTGGACATTCAGCCAACTGAGCCACCCAGGTGCCCCTGGCATTTTAATTTTGATTGTTCCCCAACTCAGAAACCCCTGGAGGATTCCTTTTCTTTTTTGATTCTGATTGAAACTGTTTTGGTATCCTAGGGACTCTCTGATGTGCCAGTCTTTCCTCACCGGTACTTTGGGCACTGGTTTTGTGTTTTGTGTTCTGACTTAATGCTTTCCACTTCCTCCAGGAGTGTCTGCCTGATTTCTGCCCATTCCTTCCTCAAGTCCCATCTCACGGCTTCCTGGCTCTCGATGTTCTCTCTGATGACCCCTACCCCCAGACAAGGCTTTACTCCCCGGTGCCTCCTGAAACTCTTTTCTGTTGAAGACAGTTTAGGTTCTAACCATACACCTTTTGTTTCCTGATAATTTGGAATTGCATACGTTTCTCTTCCTTTCCAATAGGGGCTAAGCTCTTTGAAATGTTCGATTGTGTTTTATATTCCATTGTTCCTCTTAGTACTTTATGCTTCTCTGTGGGGCTCGAACTCACAAACTTCGAGATCACAAACTGACGCTCAACCAACTGAGCCTCCAAGGTGCCCCCTTAGTATATGTTAATGGGATCCAAATTTGTAGTGGACCCCAAGCCAAAGACCACTTTTCTGCTCTTTCGTGGAAAGAAGAAAATAAGAACAAAAGCGTCAACTCCAGCTGTTCTGAGATATTCTTCGCCGTCTCCTCTTTAAGCCTCTCCTTAATCTGTGTCCTTAAGTATATTCATTTATCTTTGACATCTTTTCACTTACTACCTTATGTAGTTTTTCCTAAATAATGTATGTTTATAGATGGAGATAAATTGTGTGTTAATTGAAGCTCCAGAGAAGAGATGGGAGTATTTGAGAAAGATTAATCCTTGTTAAACTCTATCCAATTGATCTGTGTTGGCACTCTCCCTGCCTGAGTTTTAAAATTTTAATAAAATATCTGTACGTGAAGAAATCGTCTGTTGTAGTTGGGATCTAACTTAAGAGACATTTGAATATCCAGAAAACGAGACACTGAAATGAACGATACTGAAATGAACTAAGAACACTTGATTTAGAAAATTGGGTCAAGTTAAAAATAACATTTTTGTTGGGTGGTGGGGTGTTGTTGCTGTTGTTGTTTTGTTTTGTTTTCTTTGTAAAGAGACTTCACGCCCAGCTCAGAGCCCATCACAGGGCTTGAACTCACAGCCCTAAGATGAGACCAGAGCTGAGATCAATAGTCAGACACTTAACTGACTGAGCCACCCAGGCATCCCAGAGCTGTAGTTTTATTTTATCATTTAACAGTCTCTTAAAAAAATCTGTAGAGACTTTGAAAACCAAGGTTTAAAGTAATTTATCTACCAATCTGTCGATATATTTATATATATATTTTAAAGTAAGCTCTGTGCCCAGCATGGGGCTTTAACTTATCACCCTGAGATCCAGAGTTGCTTGCTCTACTAACTGAGCCATCTAGGAACCCCAATTATTATTTTAAAGTTTATTTATGAATTAGGGAGAGAGAGAGAGAGAGAGAAAGAGCAAGCAGGGGAGGGGCAGAGAGAGAGAAGGAGAGAGGGCAACTCCCTAACAGGCTGTGCATTGACAGTGAGGGGTTTGAACTCACGAACGGGGAGATCATGACCTGAGCTAAAATCAGGAGTCAGGCACTTAACCGACCAAACCACCCATGCGCCCCCCCCCCATTATTATTTTAAGTAATACACTTATTCTCCAGACTCCTTTAAACGTTTGCAAGATGACTTGAGTGTGTTCGATTTATATCTGTTAACATCTCAATTTTCGGAGTGGTGATGCAGTTTCAGCAGGACTGAAAAACCACAAACACTGTGGATACCTACCTGTCTTTAAAACTGTTCTTGGGGTGCCTGGGTGGCGCAGTCGGTTAAGCGTCCGACTTCAGCCAGGTCACGATCTCGCGGTCCGGGAGTTCGAACCCCGCGTCAGGCTCTGGGCTGATGGCTCAGAGCCTGGAGCCTGTTTCCGATTCTGTGTCTCCCTCTCTCTCTGCCCCTCCCCTGTTCATGCTCTGTCTCTCTCTGTCCCAAAAATAAATAAATGTTGAAAAAAAAAAAAACTGTTCTAACATTGGCTTACCCTTCTTTGTTTCAGACAATGATTCTTCAACAATGTATATGGCTAATGTGTGTGTGTGTGTGTGTGTGTGTGTGTGTGTGTCTATGCATGTGCACGCATGTGTGAGTTTTATTTCCTTGATTCACCAAAATAAAGTAGTAAAGAAGCCATCATGTGAATCAGGCTGCGTCTTCTTCAACAGTTGTTTACCTTGGTTTAAATAAGTTCTTTTGAAAACATAAAAATTAAAATAAATAAATAAATAAATAAAAAAGTTCTTTTGAGGAGTGATTACCTTATCAAATCTTAACTTCCGGGAATACTCTTCTTGTTCTTTCCTAGTTTCCTCATAATAAAGCGACTCCTCTTTACTAGTGGCCTCCTGTCCGTTGGGATTTGGTTGGGTGTTGACTTTTTTATTTGCTTCCCAGGTTGTTTGCATTCGCTCCACGTGGAATGCTCTCTCCCCGAAGCTCAGCTGTGACACGAGACCTCTCATTTTGAAGACCCTCAGTGAACTGTTCTCTCTGGTTCCTTCCTTGACAGTCAATACAGCTGAATATGAGGTATGACTTGGAGCTCGATAAATTATCTGTTTCTACCTTGGAAAGACGTGGGCCTTATGATAACTTACGGAAGAAGATATTCGTAACCTTTGCCAAAACTCCTTTACCACATTTTGTTCTGAGAACGTGAAATCTTCGTGGAGTAGGAGTAGGAGAATATCCATCCTATCGATTCTGTCTTTTTAAGGCTTATTTACCTAAAGGATAGCAAGTTTTTATTAGGAGAAGATAGTCAAGATTTTAAAAAGTGTGTTAAAAATGGTGTTTCTAAAGTAGTAGAATTCCTGAGGCCAAAAGTTGAAATTCATTTTGTTGGTGTTTTTACTTGTAAAAAATGTCACAAAGACTTTAATAAGGCAGGGCAGAAGTCTCCCATAGTACAGACATACTGTCATTTGTGTTTTGCTTCTACGTTTGTCATAGATTTGATTTTTACATGTTAGTTCACATTTCCTATGAACATCTATGAATAATGAGGATGATTGAAAAATCAAACTGTCTTAGGAGAGGAAAATAATTTTTTTAATTAATTGTTTTTAATGTTTTTATTTATTTTTGAGATAGAGACAGAGCATGAGCAGGGGAGGGGCAGAGAGAGAGGGAGACACAGAATCTGAAACAGGCTCCAGGCTCTGAGCTGTCAGCACAGAGCCTGACACGGGGCTCAAACTCACGGACTGTGAGATCATGACCTGAGCTGAAAGCGGACACTTAACTAACTGAGCCACCCCACCGCCCCGAGAGGAAAATAATTTTATGAGCTGCTCAGTATTTGTCATTGTAGTGACCCGAAACACTTGGTGGAAGATGCTTTGCTAGAAGATTCATATATTCTGCTTAACATTTTCTGTATTATCTCTTCTTGAAATGAGTCAAATGAGAGAGTGGCGAATTCATTTATGTCTCGACTTTTGTCGCCATATCGCCGCTCATGCTCACCTTTTCCCTTTTTCCATTAAAGAGGAGCAATTGATTTTCACTTGAAGTCTTCGTGAACTTTTAGTTTGATTTAGTTCTTCAGAGACTTTGATAAACTACCTCCCCCGTAAGAATCCAATAATAGTCTCTTAAATGCTTTAGATTATGTGAGAAGGCAGGATTATAAGATAATACTTCTTCCAATAATTCTTAGTGCTGCACAGTGGATGAAATCAAACTTGTCCTTCCTGAAGATACAATACCTAGCATAGCGCCTGGCACATAACATATATTCAGTAAATAGTTCATGCATGATTGAACCAATATAGGGGACTGTGAGTTTATTCTCACATTTGGGTTTTTGTTTCAGGGTATTAAAAAAAAAAAGAATCAATTTGAGACTCTAGAGTATGTAGTTCACCAACCGTCTTTTTTATGGCGACCGTTATGATACATATACTTACGTTGTCAGAAAGTCTGTTGGGCTAGTAACACAGAGCTAAGACTAAAAGCCAAAGTAAGGACATGTTGTGTATATTCATTTTCTGTTTTCAAGGACTGAACTCATATACCTTTGTATTGCTTGTACTTTGAGTTATTCAGATTTTATTACAGGTTAATTTAGGAACTGGCTTTTGTGCTGGTTTCTTCTCTTTGCTTACCAGTGGCTGTCAGTTTTCTGTTGTGGGGAGGCGGGACTTGATTTTTTTTCTTTTTCGAACGTACATTCTTTTCCAGTGGTGTCTTATTCTGGTGTATCTTCATGCTTATCTTTTTTTTTTTTTTTTTTAATTCTTTTAATGTTTGTTTATTTTTGAGAGAGAAAGAGAGTGCTAGCAGGGTAGGGGCAGAGAGAGGGTGACACTGAATCTGAATCAGGCTCCGGGCTCTGAGCGGTCAGCCCAGAGCCCGATGCGGGGCTCGAACTCAGAAGCCGCAAGATCGTGACCGGAGTCAAAGTCGGACGCTTAACTGATGGAGCCACCCAGGCGCCCCAATCTTCATGCGTATCTTAATGAGGTTCCTTGTTGCTCAGATAGATTGCTTTGAGGCCATTCCATCCATCAGTTTCCTCCCAGTAAGAGAGAGCCCTTCAGTGACCATATCCACTTGGAAGCAGAAATAAAGACATGTAGAAGGAGACCTCTGTCCATTTGTCTTGATCTGTCTGTCTTGCTCTCTCTCTGTCTCTCCCCGTCCCCCTCTTTTCCCTCATCTTCTCTTCTCTCACCGTCCGTTGCCTTCCTTTCTCCCTCCCTCTTTGCCTCTCTCCCTATATGTATCTAGATAACGGGTTCTCTGTTACCTGCTCAGAGTTTGGGTATAATTTTCCCAAAGCATTTCTTAGGTCGTTGCTGTTCCCAGTCACTGCAGTGTCTTGTGTTTGCCTACAATGGAGTCCAACCCCTTTTTACGTAACCAGCAAATACCTAATCAGGTCTTTTAGAATCTGGCCTCGCTCTATTTTTCTGCCCCCTGCACTCTAGGAAAATTAAACCACTGGTAATGTTGTTTTTTTTTTTTTTTCCCCTGCCTCCAAACTTTTCCATTTCATTTCCTTCGTGCACATGGTTTTCTGTCACAATTGCTTTTTTTTCCCCCATCTCTAATTTTAAAATCGATTTTAGACGATACGTAATTGGTTGAATTCATCCCGTTCTTTGAGAATTTTTGTGCAAGTGGGAATCTATTGCTAGAGACTTGATTCTTTATACTATTCTAAGAGCATTTCTCTTTTAAAAAACATTTATTTATTTTGAGAAAGAGCAGGGGAGGGGCAGAAAGAGAGGGAGACACCGAATCTCAAGCAGGTTCCAGGCTCTGAGCTGTCAGCTCAGAGCCCTATGTAGGGCTTGAACTCACAAACCGCAGAATCATGACAGAGCCGAAGCCAGAAGCTCAACCGACTGAGCCACCCAGGCACCTTTAAGAACATTTATTTCTATTTTATACTACAGATATGTGTGTTTGTGCATATATTATTTTTCCCATTAAAGTATAAGCTTGTTGAAAATAGACACGATGCTTCCATTAGTGTATTTTCTGAATTGCTTTGCAAAGTGCTTGTGTATCCATTCATTGACTCAGGATATATTTATTAAAACTGTGCTAAGGGGCGCCTGGGTGGCGCAGTCGGTTAAGCGTCCGACTTCAGCCAGGTCACGATCTCGCGGTCCGTGAGTTCGAGCCCCGCATCAGGCTCTGGGCTGATGGCTCAGAGCCTGGAGCCTGTTTCCGATTCTGTGTCTCCCTCTCTCTCTGCTCCTCCCCCGTTCATGCTCTGCCTCTCTCTGTCCCCAAAATAAATAAACGTTGAAAAAAAAAATTAAAAAAAAAAAAACTGTGCTAGGCTTTACAGACACTAATACATATTCTAGATATTCTTTTTAAGTGTTTATTATATTCCCAGCACCTTTCCCATTAATTTATACCAATTTGTTATAATGTCTCACAGGAAGGTATTATTTTTCATTTTATAGCTAAAGGATCTGAGATTTGAAGAGGTTCATCCATTCATTAAATGTTTATTAAGTACCTGCCAGATGCTAGGCAAGTAACTTGACGAACATTGTAGTTTCTAAATGAAGGCTGGTGTCTAAACCTGTAACTTTTAGCTCCATAGTCTGTACTTTCCCATTACACCACGTTGTCAGTCCTTGCCTTCTTTTTTTTTTTTTTTTTTAAGTGTTTGTTTATTTTTGAGAGAGACAGAGAGGGAAACAGAGGATCTGAAGCGGGCTCTGCGCTGGCAGCGGAGAGCCTGACGCGGGGCTCAAACTCACGAACTGTGAGATCATGACCTGAGGAGAAGTCAGACACTTAACCCACTGAGCCACCCAGGCGCGCCCCAGTCCTTGCCTTCCAAGAGCTCAAAGGTCGGCAAAAGAGGTAGACGTAAGCAACAATAATTATAATAACATTTAAAAGTTTTTTTATTGTATTTTTAATTTACATCCAACTTAGTTAGCATATAGTGCAATGATAATTTCAGGAGTAGATTCCAATGATTCATCCCCTATGTATAACACCCAGTGCTCATTCCAACAAGTGTCTGTCTTTCTTAATGCCCCTTATCCATTTAGCCCATCCCTCCTCCCATAACCCCTCTGGCAACCCTCAGTTTGTTCTCTGTATTTAAGAGTCTCATGTTTTGTCCCCCTCCTTGCTTTTATATTATTTTTGCTTCCCTTCCCTTATGTTCATCTGTTTTGTATCTTAAATTCCACATATGAGTGAAATCATAGATTTGTCTTTCTCTAATACCCTCTAGTTCCATCCACGTAGTTGCAAATGGCAAAATTTCATTCTTTTTGAATGAATGTGTGTGTGTGTGTATATGATATATACGTATATATATGTGTGTATATATATGTGTATTTGATATATACGTATATATATGATATATATATGATATATATATGATATATATGTATATGATATATACGTATATATATGTATATGATATATACATATATGTATATGATATATATGTGTGTATATATATATATATATATACGTATATATCATATACACACACACACATCTTATTTATCCATTCAAGCATCGATGGACATTTGGGCTCTTTCCAGACTTTGGCTATTGTCGATAGAGCTGCTGTAAACATTGGGGTGCATGTGCCCCTTTGTGATAGCACACTGGTATCCCTTGGATAAATACCTAGTAGTGCAATTGCTGGATGGTAGGGTAGTTCTATTTTTAGTTTTTTGAGGAGCCTCCATACTGTTTTCCAGAGTGGCTACACCAGCTTGCATTCTGACCAGCAGTGCAAAAGAGATCCTCTTTCTCCGCATCCTCGCTAACATCTGTTGTTGCCTAAGTTGTTAATGTTAGCCATTCTGACAGGTATAAGGTTGTATCTCATTGTGGTTTTAATTTGTATTTCCCTGATGATGAGTGATGTTGAGCATCTTTTCATGTGTCTGTTAGCAATCTGGATGTATTCTTTGGAGAAGTGTCTCTTCATGTCTTTTGCCCATTTCTTCACTGGATTATTTGTTTTTTTGGATGTTGAGTTGGGATAAGTTCTTTGGAGATTTTTATCTAATATGTCATTTGCAAATATCTTCTCCCATTCTTATGGTTGCCTTTTAGTTTTACTAACTGTTTCCTTTGCTGTGCAGAAGCTTTTTGTCTTGATGAGGTCCCAATAGTTCATTTTTGCTTTTGTTTCCCTTGCCTCCAGAGACGTGTTTAGTAAGAAGTTGCTGAGACTGAGGTCAAAGAGGTTTTTGCCTGCTTTCTCCTCTAGGATTGTGATGGCTTCCTGTCTTACATTTAGGTCTTTCATCCATTTTGAGTTTATTTTTGCGTCTGGTGTAAGAAAGTGGTCCGGGTTCATTTTTCTGCATGTTGCCATCCAGTTTTCCCAGCACTGTTTGCTGAAGACACTGTCTTGATTCCATTGGGTATTCTTTTCTGCTTTGTCAAAGATTAGCTGGCCATACGTTTGTGGGTCCATTTCTGGGTTCTCTATTCTGTTCCACTGATCTGAATGTCTGTTTTTGTGCCAATAATAATAACATTTGATGGGTGAGTACACTTAATCAAAGGGCTATGAGAGTATGGTGTGGAAGGGGCCAGCATTCTAGGAGGGATTGAAGTAAACCTTATTTAGTTGGTGCTATAAGACTAGGTTCTTGTAGAATAAAAAAAAAAAAAATATTGCTTCGTATTGAAGTCTAAGAAATAGAATATACAAAGACAAGGAGTTATAGAAGAACCTTCTATGATTTATAAGGACAAGAAGTTAGATGTGATTGAAATGATGAAGACTGTGGGCCTTGGAAAAGAAATGGCTTTTTAAGCTCAGTTACTTATTAAATATTTGTCATTTGAGGACCTGGGCTTTATAGTATAGGCTTTGGAAATGAAAAAGTCAGTCACTGCCCTAAGGAGTGTAAATCTACTAGGGAGTTAGCCACATACACAGATAATCAAACTGGATGCTGAAGTGTGCCATGGGCCATATGGTCACTTGGAGAGGGGAGAACTGCCTCCTGGGAACAGTGGCATGAAAGAGGAGTGACATTTGTACTAGGTAGGACTTGAGAGGTCCGCAAAAAATGGTCAGTTTTCTCAATTTAGTAATCCTAACATCTCACTGTGTTTGAAATGTCCATATGTTTCCATGGTGAGTCTGTTTCTGAGCATTTTCATTTTCTGAATGATGGGTAAATACAGATGAAGTCTATCACTAGCGGTATAATTTTGAAAGTGATTTAATTTTCACCGTTTGCTGCTTTAGATTGTTGTCAGTTTTGCCTTCGACTTAAAAATTTATTGTGATGTTTATTGATTTTTCAGAATTTTAAAGTCCAAGTCCTCAGCTTCCTCTGGACCCACACTCAAAACAAGGTACTATCACAAGGGTGTCAGTGAAACGCAACCCAGGTGGGAAAGAACTGTGAAACAAGACTGTTTGAATAAAAAAAATATAACTAATTTGAAATGACGGCTTCTTGATCTTAAAAGAATTCTGACATTAGTAAGTTTAGGTTTTTTAAATTCTTTTCTTTTTTATTTTTTTAATAATTTATTTATTTTGAGAGAGAGAGAGAGAGCGAGAGCGCGAGCATGAGCAGGGGAAGGGCAGAGAGAGAGAGAGGGAGAGAGAGAGGGAGAATCCCAAGCAGGCTTCTGCACTGCCAGTGCCGAGCCCAACGTGGAACTTGAACTCACAAACTGTGAGATCATGACCTGAGCTGAAACCAAGAATCGGACGCCTAACCGACCGAGCCACCCAGGCGCCCCTAGAAATTCTTTCCAGTTTATGCCCATTAATGCATTTTTGTCATAAAAGGCACTTGTTACCTGGTGAAGCTGACAGATGTAAAGAGAGACTGGTGCCATTGTGTCATTTTTTTAATGGCCCTTCCCCTTTGCTGCTTTGCCTGTCCCTCAACAACAAGCATATCAAACAAACAAAAAGTCCAGTTCATTTTTTAGATGTCATTTCCAATCAAGGAGTACAAAGAAGAGGGTGTCTGTTGGTGACGTTATACTACACTCATGAGTGTATGAGCTTAAATTCCCATGGGCTAACTTTTTAGTAGCTGGAGAATCAGAACCTAATTCCAACGGATCGGACTTTGAATCCATATACTGCTTCAGTAAACCATGCCACCTGATGGGGACCTGAGTGATTTGGAGTGAATTGATGTTTAATGTCTGAACTGGGATAAAAACACAGTGCTTCTGATCTCTCTACCGAGTGCTGATTTCTCGCTCTTTTTAGTGGGACCTAGTAAGCAAGCCATGAATACGATTTCCAAAGCCCTGACTATAGCACTTTGAGGTTGGCGTGGGAATTTTGTTCTTCCTCCAGAGGTGATGTGTAATATATATTGTTTCTTTTGTTTCTCTTACTGGTACCCCATCTAGGAATCAATTGTAGCAAACGCTGCCTATAAATCTCTGTCACATTTTAGCGCGGGAGAGCATACCGTTCTTCATCTGCCTGAAGAGGTAGGCCTTTCTGCTTTCCCAGTGGTATCTCTTGACTGCTGGGGTTCATAACTGTATTTGTATTTCCTCTCTTTGAAGATTTTTAGCTGACGCATACGTAACTCTAGATATGTTGTCTATAAAGAATGAGAACTTACATATATTAATTTGTCTAATCTGTAAAAGACTGGAGAGGTCTTAGACCCCACAGATAATGAACTTAAATCTCTTGGAAGCAGATGGAAGGCACATACGGTGTTGACGAAGTCTCTGTAGGTAACTGTATGCCGGTGCCCCTGGCTTACCTCGGAGGATCTGTGTCACTGTAGGAACCATTTTGCCCAGTTAGTGTGAACTTCCCGGAGTTCACATCCAAGCATGGCCTGCATAGACTAAAGTTTAGGCAGCCTGTGCAGCCAGAGATCCTTATTTGTGATACAAAATTGAGATGCATGTGAAAAATCTGCTATTTTAATTCATTTAGCGTGAAATGATACATAGGTTAGTCCCAGGGAACTGGATGAAGAAAGGATCACTCTTCTAAGAGTTAACACGTTGTGTGACATTATCTTAGTTTATATGTATATGTATATGCATGTACATATATACGTATTTTAGTTTCTTTGAAGCTCTATGCTTAACGTGGCGCTTCAGCTCACGACCCCGAGACCAAGAATCGCATGCCTAAGCCAGCCGGGTGTCCCTCTTAGTTTTTAGATTGAAAACATACAACCTTTTCTAATATCTACTTAATATGACCAGGTTTAAGTTACTAGGTTATGTTAAGGACCTAAGTGTATGGATCTCACATTTAATGTTACTGCTAATTTAAATGCGTATGAATGTTTATTGAATGCCTCTAGAGCGTAAAGCAGACATTGTGTTAGAAGAAGTCACGTCTGATGTTACCCAGAATCAGTCCTTAGGTCAAATGGCTCAAGAAGTTTTGGTACAAATGTCTTAGGATCCTAAGGCATTAAAATGGGTTGACTTTTTCCTTGGGACTGAGTTTGTATAGAGGTTAGTTGCCAGTAGGAACAAGGCAAACTTGTGTTTATTGAATTGAATTGGAGGGATTGTTGAAAGCCTCTTGTAAAATCAAATCCTAACTAAGGCAGGATTTCTCACGTTGACGAGGCAAAGACAGATGGGCCAGCTTGTCGTGTGGCTATCCCAAATGGGAAGACTTAAGAAAAAGTGTTCTGTGACTCATAAAATTAAAAAAAGATGAACTTCAGATCGCACTGGAGGTCTCTTGTTGGGATGAGCACTGGGTGTTGTATGTTAAGTGATGAATCCCCAAAGCCAAGGGCACACTGTATTATATACACTGTATGTTAGCTAACTTGATGGTAAGTTATATTTAAAATAAATAAACACATAAACATGTAAACGCCTAAAGAAAGAAAACAAAAAAGTTTAAAAAAGGAAAAGGTAAAGGTAAAAAAGCTACATGTAAATTTTGTATGCAATTACTGCCTACCAGTAAATTGGGTACAACATCTGGAAAGATACTTTTTACTATTATTATTATTATTATTTTAATAAGCAATTGCTAATTTAGATTACAGCATCATAATTACCTTTACTTTTAGCTATTATTCATGAAATTTGGAGTAGTAGCTTTGGAATAGTAGCTTTGATTAAATAACTCCCACATATTCCTAGCTGTTTAGTCTCTACGTCTTTAGGTATTGATATGTTTATATCTTTTCCTACTTTGGCATTATGTTCAGTTTCTGATATTAGAGTTTAGATTCAGTTAAGGGCTACGCTTAGTCAAATATTAGATACTTTCTTATTTATTTAGAGAGTGCGCACATGTGCCCACGGGCAGGGAGGGGCGGAGGCGAGGGTGGGGTGGGGTGGGGGGAGAGAGGGAGAGTCCCAAGCAGGCTTCACACTCAGTGCAGAGGGCAACACAGGGCTCAGTCTCATGACCGTGTGATCATGACCTGAGACATTATCAAGAGTCTGACGCTTAACTGACTGAGACACTCAGGCATCTCTATTAGATACTTTCTTAATCTAACTGTTCAATGTCCTCTGATAGCTGAGGACACGTAAATAGCTCTTTATACCTTCCAATGTAAAGGGTAGTGGTATACTTAGAGTTGGGGTTTCTATATATGCTTGGGTTTTCACCATTAGAGTGTGAAGAACTATAAAGGAAATGTCTAACATTTATCCTTTTTCTGCCGTGCTTCTCAACCTTTTTTCTACCCTAACCCCCTTCTGGGATACGACCTACTCCCTGAAGTAACAGTGTTGACTGTAGTGGATATTCTCAACTAGGCTTAAGAGGAGGGGATATAAGTGATTTGAAAGAGTCTGTCTTTGACCCCCAGTTTCTGATATAGACGACCTGCCTCCTCATGGAGAATTATTGCTTCTAAGACTGCACAATGCATTCTTCTTCCTTTCGTTGATTACTGATTTTCAGTTCTGCTGTTTGACCACTTTCTGGACTTTTAGTTCTTAGGTATTCAATGTGTTTATATCCCAAACAAACCCCGAAAGGCTAAGGATACAAGTGAGTCACGTCCCTACCTCTGTTTTTTAGATGATAGCAGTGATGTGAAACTGAGGCTCTTCTATAAAAACATATTTTCAGTGGTTTGAAGAGTCCCTTCCAGGTAGGGACTTCTGTCTCTTCCTTGTTGACAGAGATTAGTCACTCTGCACGACGGGCAATTTGACTTATTCAGAAAACTGAAGGGTACCTCTACCTTTCCAGTGAAAGTACATCCACATTTTCTCTGTGAAAACTTGGGAAAGAATCTTTTAAATGAGAGTGCTGTAAATTTCAAGTAAAAATCAACAACAAGAAGATACACTGTATCCTTAGCAACAGGACTACTTTCTTATATAATGTAGCTACTCTTGTAAGTACTGTATTGCCTTTCTCTAAATTTACTAAAGAAAGATTTCTTGTTCATTGATACCTCCATTTAAACCATGAAACTTGTTGAAAGCTCACAGATGGATAGAACAAAAGGCGTTGGGAGAGTGGCAGACATCAGTTTGGGTTGAATGAAACAGTCCACCTAAGGTAGGATTGGAACATGTCTATGAGCCCTGGAGTTTAACGAGATGCCACGTGACGTAGGGGTTTGAATATCAAATCCATGAACTCCTCTTCTTGTCATTAGGTTGTTATTAGGAAGTTCTGTGGGATTATGATTATTATCATCTGTGGGATGATACTTGCATCGGTTTAGCAATTATTTATTGGACATACACTAAGCCCGAGGCCATATTCTAAGCTGGGAATGTTAAGTGAATCCATTATGTTTCGTTGGTTTGTAAAAATATCATTGTTGATCACTTGAAACATGCAAATCTAAAGTTGGTCAAAAAGTTTCAGGGGCTTCTTTGAGGCCTTGTTGATTCCAACGTTAAGAAATAGACAGAAACGATTTTTGTTTTTTAGTTTGTATTTCTTTCTTCTGTTGAACTATTTATTCTTCTCTTTGGCCTTCTTTAGTGTCCCCCCCAACCCAATAAAACAAAGCAAACAAAAATAAACAAAAATATAGAGAATTGTTATTCTGGTAAAACAATCAGTAATGGATAAACATTTAGGCAGAAGACTGACTCTCATCTCTGACTTGGGTCCATTAAAAACTATTTAGCTGTTCAAAAATTAAGTTTTGTTTTTTTTTTTAATTAAAGAATCTTAAGATAGATTGTGTTCTTGATTTCTGGAGTTAATTTTCGAAGTGAGTAATGGAAGAGAACTCATTATGCATCCTGGGTTGGTATTAATGTGGTGTAACCTGTTTGGCTTTGATTTAAGTGAATGTCACTGCATTCATCGGAAGCTGTTTCTCTTTTTAAATAAATGTATGCGGATACTTGACATGTTCTAAATAAAATCCTGTGTTTATGCACAAACTCTTAGATTTTCACGGGTTGTACACAGGAAAGGTGGTTAAAAGGTTATCTGGCTCAGAACCCATAGTGAGGCATTTTGTAGTATAAGCTTTCCAATATTCAATTTGAAGCAGATTCTGAAAGTAATTTATCATTTAATATTTGGCTCTCCATTTAAGTTTCTTCAACAAAGCTTAGCGATAATTGGAAGGGTGTAGTTGTGTGTGTATGTGTGTGTGTTTTAAATATATATGTGGTTTTCCTGGGTGTTTTTAGTAGCTACTGTCATATAATTACCAAAATGTGATCATTTTACAGGTATTCTTTTAGATGACTTCTCTTGATTTTTCTTAGTTGTACGCCCATTCATCTCAATTCAGTAGTTACGCACAAAGCAAGAGAAAAGCCTGGGTCTTGCACAGGGAAGCTGGGACAAATACTTCTTTAAGAGGTGAGCGGAGGAGGATGGAAATGAGATGGAACCAAGGTCCAACAATAAGTGCTAATTTGTTCAGAATTAACTCACCTTTGAAGAAACAAATCATACCGTTGTAAGTAGGCAGAATATATCAGCTATTCTTAAATTACAGTACGTCTGTAGTTTCTTTGTTAAAATATATACATATGTAAGATACACACATATGCTCTTTACCACATGGCAGATAAATTAATAGAGGCATCCAGTTATGTGGATGTAAAATTAGACAACATAAGACAGATCGTTATTTTTTTTTAATCTCCAACCTAGTAGGTCTGTCTCTCTTTAGCGTGTCTAAGAGATATCGGTGGTCTGGGTCCTGTGACTCATTGTAAGTAATTTAGGTGGACTGATCAGAAAGACTGGACAGGCTAAAATGTGCGCAGAAATAATCGTGTCCCTTTTACATTAAGTAATTCTGGAATTGGAAGCATTTGGTTGTTTGCCATAATTCATACACCAGTCCAAATCCCTCTGAAGGTGGTGACAGCTTCCTGCTTCTGCGTCCTCTTACTCTATCCTACCTCCCGTCCCCTTCCCCTTTCTTCTCCACGTCCCTTCTTCTAGCTTGCCTGCCTTCCTCCTCGCCTTCTTCCTCTTTCTCAACAGCTTTATTGAGCATCCCATATAATTCGCATCCCATATAATTCACCCATTTAAAGTGTACAATTCAGTGGGTTTGCTATATTTAAAGAACTGTGCAAGGAATCACAGAGCAACCACAATCTAATTTTAGAACATTTTATTAGTAGTCAATCCCCATCACTCCTTTCCACTCCCGCAGCCCTGAGCACCCATTAATCTACTTTCGGTCTCTAAATTTGCCTAGCCTGAACCTTTTCTATAATGAAATTACGCAGTAAGTATGTGGTCTTTTGTGACTGGCTTCCCTCACTTAGCATATTTTCAAGGTTCATTCCTCTCCAGCACGTATCTGTACTTCATACCCTTTTACAACTGAAGAATATTCCATTGTGTGGATACGCCACACGTTGTTTATGCATTTGCCCGTTCACGGACCTTTGAGCTGCTTCCATTTTTTTGGCCGTTTCGAACAACGCGTTCACATTCGTGTGCAAGTTTTTGTGTGATCGTACGTTTTCATTTCTCTCCTTGCATACTGAGGAGTAGAATTGCTGGGCCATGGGGTAGCTCTTCTTTAACTTTCTGAGAACCTGCCAACTGTTTGTCAAAGGGGCTGCCTGCACCATTTTACATGCCCACCAGCAGAGCAGGAGCGTTCTGCTTTCTCTCTCTCCTCACCATCCCTCTGAATTTTCATGTTAATTGAAGTGGTCACCTCTGTGTTCCACCTCCCCAAACCTCCCGCCACCTGTGGATATGGTGTGTGTCCGAGCTTCCCGGTGCTTTGATAACTGGGGTGGTAGCTGGTGTTACCCTTGCAGTCTCCAGCTATAAGCATTGCTGTCTGTTTCCCCCAGGGTGCCGTTCAAGTATCATTTTCAGTTTGTACTATGATGTGTAAAAGGGACAGGCAAGGCAGACAGACCCAGAACCAACTCCTTTTTTGGATCTTTGTAGACGACTAGGACTGGTTAGAATCTCCAAGAGAACTCCTGATGATACTAAACCTGGCAAGCTCAAAGTATGTAGACAGACCAGAGACACTTGGAAAACCCCGCTTGTGAGAGCCAAAAGGGTCGCAAATGTGCCAGGGTTTTCTCCAGTTTGCAGTGATATCAGCAAACGCCATTGTGCCCTATGTGGAGCGAACATTATTGTTATCTCTGTAATTATGGCTGGCTTGGTCCTCTGAGAATTGGGTGCTCCGTAGTGAATCAGAATTAAATCTCGTCTTGCAAAGTGCTCGTCTAGGCAGGTTGCTCTTATTCCTTCACTAGTGAAGAGAACACTAGTTATGGTTGAAAGGCTTCATTGGAGTTGAGGTTATTATACTTAAGGGAAGCATTTCCTTTCTGTTTTCTTTCATCCCCCCTGCAAGAATCCTGACTCAGTGCAGTTCCTAAATGGAACAGTGCTTTGGGGCCCTATGAAGAAGGCAGTCTGCAGGAATTGTTAATTATTTCTAAAAATAACTCCGGGAGACAGGCTAATGGTAATGACTGCGTTCTGGCACTTTATGGTTATAGCAACCACTTTTATATATTTTGATTTCCTCCCCCAATGCTTAATTATCTCCATGTGGGCATTGTGATGGTGTGTCATTGAAAGTATTAAAAATTTAATTAATTGCTTGACAGTTGTATCTTGCAGAAGCTACAATCACGGTAATCTTTTTCCATTTTTAAATTTTTGGTTCAAACGAACCTAACTAATCACAGAGCAACCACAAAAATCTTAAAATTGCAAATTAGACACGATAAAATGTAGCTACCAATTACAGACTTTAGTGTTTTTAGATTCTATAGCAACAAACTGCCGAGTCTAAGAAAAAGTCAACTAAAGCATCCTATCCTTTTCCGATCTCTACTATATATTCTACTGGAAGATTTTAAGCTCTGCCACAGAGATATGGCCAGAATCACAAATTAAAAAAAAAAAAAAAAAAAAAAGTATTCCGACAAGGCAAATATTTAATTACAAACCATAGAAGTTCAATATATTGAATGTGTCAGTTGTTTGCATTTTACTGTCAGAGGGTGTAAAATTTTATTAGTGCTCTATAATAATCATTGCTTATGCTGGCTTATGGTAATTTTCTTAGTATATTACCACTGGTTCTTTACATGGGTCTGGGATTGTCTCTCATAAGATAGAATTTACCGTTTAGTTAATCTGAAAATGAGCAGATATTTTAAAATTAATTTTTAATGGTCTTTTGACATTACAGAGCGACGAGTCTAACTCAGTCTTTAAGTCTTCGCATAAAAGGGAAAAAGAAAAGATTTTATGTGACGTTCTACTATTGCCTTCTCTGTCGTTTCAGATAAGACCGGAAATCCCTATTCCTGATGAGCTAGAAGAAGATGAAGATGATGAGGGTGATGAAAAGGATCTGGATCTTTCCATCCCTGGCTCTTGCTATCTCAAACTACTGTCACTTACTGCTCCTTTGGTTTTTCCAGGTGACTCCTGTTCATTGGCAGGGAAGCCAGCATCTGTCAGTGTTTCTACCTGTCCGATGGTGTTCTTTTCCGATGTGTATATATTTATAGTTTACTTTAATTGTAGCTTCCTTTCTATCTGAAAGGCAAAAGGTGTCTCTTTTACAGGGGCGGCTTGAGGTGGTGACGGTGTTCCGAACACACGGAAAAATGTTAGAGTCGAATAAAATTGCACTGGAAAACCAGTCGAAACCACCATTTTCAGTGAGAAATTAAAATCCACTTCAAAAGCCATATTCAACGAGACAAATTTGCAGTGGGACTTTACGTCACTGGCTCAAATAACGGTTCTTTATTCTATAAGCTAAATGAAAAGATTGTTAGAATCTACAGAGATTTCCTGGGTACTTTCGTTACGAGTTTATTCTTTCTTTAGAATTATTCCGAAGGTGGGATCAATATTTGAAAGCTATAAATTAATGGATTACATTGTATGGTCGTTCAGTTTTGATAAAAAGCTTATAGGACCGTGACGTTTAAAAAAAAATTATTCTAATTATATCTCATGATTCTAACTCAGTATTAGCCAACATTTTTCCAAGCAGGCACCGGATTACCTTGTTCTGTCCCAATTCCACCTTGAATGTACGTGGATGTGAAAAGGTCAGCTTCTGAAAATTAAGACCGGCCCACACCAGAAATGTCAGCTTGTTAACCATAGTCGCCATATCCTGTAATAGGGGATTTTTTTCTCCCCCTTGGCTTTACCCCCCATGGAGATTTCCTGAGGGATTCAGGCACACGCATACTATTTATTTCTAGACAATTCTGTCCCAAATCCCTGCCTCCTTTCATGAGAGAACACTGAAATGGAACGACTTAGACAAAGAGTTCACATTTCCTCTTCTCTCGATGTCCAGAAAAGAGCCTGAAGGACTCGTTCCTGTTCCCCGTTTCTGTTCTTCCCCGTTTCTCAGCCCACGGCCCTGGAGAGTCTAGGATCCCTTTGCGGTTTTAATAGTGAGTCCCAGGAAGGCAAAAAAAACCTTCAGTTATCCCAAATGGCCGTAGAGGTAGAAGTCCTAGTCCTTTTGGGCTTTTTAAAATGATGTTATCCAGTCCCCCCCAGGCGTGTGGTGGAGAAAGGGGATGGTGTGGCCAAGGTGTGCTGTTGCTTCTGTCCTCTCAGGATGTGGTGGCCGTGAACTGGCTCTTCTACATTGCTCGTACGTGATCGTCACGAGTGCCTTTCCCTGAGAAAGAAGGGGAGGATTTGAGTTCAGCAAGTATGTCTGTTGGAGAAAATTCAGTAGCATCACGTGGGGGTGCTCTGGAAACTGCCGGGGTCTGGCAAACCGTGTCGCCGTGGGGCAAAGTTCTTTATTTTTCTGGGCCTCCCTTTCCCTGCAGTTACCGGAGAACTCAAAAAAGAACCAGGAGAAAGCACCAGCCTTAGGAACATACGCCCTAAAAGGCACAGGGTGGGTAATACACACGAGGTCTCTAGTTACAGCAGCCAGAAAACCAGATTGCACTGAGCATGAGTGAACCCTGGTCCTTTTCTTCCCTGATGTCTTTTCAAGTAAACACAAAAGCAGCTGCAGAGGAATCCAGTAGTTTGCCGCCTTTTAAATAGGGATGTTACTGGTATTTTATTTTGTTTTTTATTTTGAAATAAACTTAAATGACTTAAAAGAAGTTGCAGGTACACTGTAATGTACCCAGCGGGATAACCTCTCACATACTTTGGTTCGTTATTAAAACCAGGAAATTCACATTGGTTCAAAGCAATTATTTAAACCATAGACCTGTTAGGGGCTCCTGGGGGGTTCAGTCGGTTCAGCGTCCAACTCTTGATTTCGGCTCGGGTCATGATCCCAGGACTATGGGATCGAGCCCCGTGTCGGGCTCTGCACTGAGCCTGCAGCCTGCTGAAGATTTTCCCTCTCTCTCTCTCTCTCTCTCTCTCTCACTCTCTTTTTCCCTCCCTCGCCCTCTCTCCCCCCCCTCCCTCCCTCTTTTCCCCCTCCCCTGCTCACGCTCTCTCTCCTTAAAAAATAAAACAAAAAAACACTATAGACTTAGGATTTCACTAGTTCCCCCCCCATATAGTATATACACTTTTCAGTTAAAGAAATTTTTTTTACACACAGCATAATGACTTTGATGTTTATGCAAATACTTGCCTATGTCGATTTCTTTCAATTGCTGAGTAGTACTCCATTGTAGGATGTTCCACAGTTTGTCCCCTCACCTATTAAAGGACACTGGGGGGTGTTTTAAAAATTTATATTTAACACCCCGTGTTCTACAGAATTTTCAGCTCTTTTAAATTCTCACCTGATCATCTGGAGGGACAGGGCAAGGCTCAGAAGCAGTAGAAAAGAAATCGTAGTTCCTAGCTTCCTGGCCAGGGAAGATGGTGCTCTATACATTGGTCATACTCATGGTGTCCTACCCTCATTTAAACTCATTGTGGGGGCTTGAGTTAATTTGAGAGTCCTTAGTTCTCTGAAGAGCTTGACAAGGAGACAGAGTTCGGTTCCCGAGTTAGTCTGCACGCAGATGTGTACTTACCTCCTGACACGGATGAGCTTTTGCCAAAATAGATTCCCTTCTGAGAAAGTGTGAAATTACCTTCTCCTGCCATAGCTCCTCTGTCCTCATAAACATGATCTTTAGCTACATTCTGAGTCGTCTGTACTCACCCCCAGGGTGAAGCAGTCCCACCTGTGCACGCCTATGCAGGAATTGGGGTATGTGGCCTGTGACTGGATGTCGTGCGTCTCTTTCATGTAGATGATGTATTAGCCAGGGGCTTGGCAGAAGAGGCACATTCAGTTGGAGTCCTTGAGGGTTTCATACAGGCACCATTTACAGCTGTGTGGTCGGGTTTGAAGGAAATTCACAAGCAATGGTGCGTTATCCCCGAGTGGTTAATGTCCCCCAGCCTGAAGAGGTAAGGAAGGGGACGTAGCAGTCTGGAGAATCGGGGAGAGCATCTGTGTCGTGCATAGTGCTGCCTCAGGGGAACCAGGGGCTGCAGAAGAGGGTTGCAGGCCACTTGTAACAGTCCTGCAGGAGGGTGTCTGAGGACACATGCCCTGACCTCACTCTGCTTCCAACCTCTGATCTTTGGCGAGTGTCTCCCGTTGGAGAAAGCCAACTAAAAGCCGGAGGACAAGGGAGCCCTGCGGATGTAGTCGATAAAGGTTGTCTCCCAACGCACAGAGCAAGGTTGAGAGGGCAGAGGGCCGGTCTGGAGGGGTAAATGGAAAACATCCCACACAGGCGTTCTCTGGGCTTTCAGTGGAGAAGGGTGGTCACCTCTAGGAAGGTTCTATATAGGAGTAACGGATTCTATATAGGAGAACTGGGCGCATAATAGATGCTCTAGTGAGCACCTTCAATTTAATCCCAGTCATTTAAAGAGGACTCTGAGATCTATTAAGAATGAAATTCCTGTTTAGTTAGGTGGACCCTTCTTTTTTGTTCCTACGAGAGGCACAGGCAGTGGTTTTCCGTTTTGTTTTCCATGCCTACCATTTGTTTAGCTTAGATGTGTTCGTTGTTTTTGTTTCTGCATTGGGCAACCTCTAGTGGCCCTTAGGGAAATAACACTTGAGTACAAACCTGTTTTGTAGGCAAGCAGCGGTGAAAATGGAGAGAAATGGATGATGGAGCCAGGATATATTTCTGCAGGTAGATGTGCAAGGGCTTGCTCGTGGATTTACGTATACCAAGTGTGAGAAAGAGAGGAATTGAGAATGATGAAGGTTTTAAGCTTGAGTAACTGGGTGCCATGTTATAATTTGGGAAGACTAAGCAAAGGATGGGAATCAAGAGTTCCCTTTCACTGTGTGAAGTTTGGTCTGAAATACGGCTGTGTGTGTGGGTGTGCAAGCATGCATGAAAATAACTATATATGAGTTAAGAGTGAATGATGCTCTCCTAACATACCATGTTCACTTTTGATCTTTCACCGCTTTCAGCTTTGGAGGAATTTTTTACATCTCTTGTGAAGCAAGAAATGGTGAATATGCCCCGTGGAGTATATCACTCTGCATTAAAAGGAGGTGTTCGCTCAGACCAAGGAAAGACCGTAGCAGGAATCCCCAATTTTATATTGAAAATGTATGAAACAAACAAGCAACCGGGTTTGAAACCTGGCCTTGCAGGTGAGTGCACTACATAATATCAAGGTAGAGGGTTTGGTTTTAATTAGGAAGCGTTCTTAATTGTATTTTAATCAATTAATTAATTCTTAATTTAGTTTTTAAAATTTAAATCCAAGTTAGTTAACATAAAGTGTTATGATAGGTTCAGGAGTAGAATCTAGTGATTCACCACTTACATATAACACCCAGTGCTCATCCCGACACGTGTCCCCTTTAGTGCCCATCGCCCATTTAGCCCATCCCCTCACCCAGCACCGCTCCAGCAACCCTCCGTTTGTTCCCTGTATTTAAGAGTCACTTATGGTTTGCCTCCCTCTCTGTATTTTTCTTATTTTTTCTTCCCTTCCCTGTGTTCATCTGTTTTGTTTCTTAAATACCACATATGAGTGAAATCATAAGGTATTTGTCTCTCTGGCTGACTTATTTTGCTTAGTATAATACAGTCTAGTTCCATCCACTTTTGTTGCAAATGACAAGGTCTCATTCTTTTGATTGCCACGTCATATCCCACTGTACATATACACCACACCTTCTTTATCCATTCATCAGTCAGTGGACTTTTAGGCTCTTTCCATGATTTGGCCATTGTTGATAATGCTGCTGTAAACATTGGGGTGCCTGTGCCCCTTTGAATCAGCACTTTTGTATCCTTTGTATAAATACTCAGCAGTGCAATTGCTGGGTCATAGAGTAGTTCTATTTCTAATTTTTCGAGGAATCTCCATACTGTTGTTATTATTGTTTGTATTTCTGTGGTGTTGGTTGTGATCTCTCCTCTTTCATTTATGATTTAATTTATTTGGGTCCTCTCCTTTTTCTTGTTGATAAATCTGGCTAGGGGTTTATCAATTTTATTGATTCTTTCTAAGAACCAGCTTCTAGTTTTGTTGATCTGTTCTACTGTTTTTTGATTTCGACATCGTTGATTTCTGCTCTAATCTTTATTATTTCTCTTCCTCTGCTGGTTTTAGGCTTTATTTACTGTTCTTTTTCCAGCTCCTTTAGGTGTAAGATTAGGTTGTGTATTGGAGACCTTTCTTTCTTCTTTAAGATTGCTATATACTTCCCCCTTACGACTGCCTTTGCTGTATCCTAAAGGTTTGAGTGTCGTGTTTTCATTTTCATTGGCTTCCATGTACTTTTTAATTTCCTCTTTAACTTCTTGGTTAACCCATTCATTCTTTAGTAGGATGTTCTTTAGTCTTCAAGTATTTGTGGACTTTTCCATTTTTTTCTTGTGGTTGATTTCAGGTGTCCTAGCGTTTTGATCTGAAAATATGCATGGTATGATATTGATCTCTTTGTACTTATTGAGGGGCTGATTTGTGACCCAGTATGTGATCTACTCTGGAGAATGTTCCCATGGGCACTTGAGAAGAATGTGTATTCTGCTGCTTTAGGATGAAATGTTCCGAGTATGTTTGTTAAGTCCATTGGATCCAATGTGTCATTCAAAGCCATTGTTTCCTTGTTGATTTTCTGCTGAGAGATCATTGCTGTAAGTGGGGTGTGAAAGTCCCCTACTATTATGGTATTATTATCAATGAGTTTTTTTTATGTTTGTGACTAATTGATTTATATATTTGGGTGGTGTCAAGTTGGGGGCATAAATATTTACCATAATTAAATCTTCTTGTTGGATAGACCCAAGGTATAGGTTTTTAATATCATGATTTAACTTCCACTTTCAAGAAGGATGTGATGGGTCATGGCAGAGTGCTGCTGCTGCTAACATTTAGACACAACTGGATAAAATGGCAAAGATAAACCACATTGTAAAGGCACTGGAGAATTATTGAGGCAGAGATAAGTAGATTAAAATCACAGAACGGAGAGAAAGAACATTTTAGAACTGTGCCCCCCACTGCCCTGTGGAAGATAGACAGTGATTTCGGTTGTGGGCTAGGACTGGGGCTTGGCCTAGGAAGAGGTCTGTGGGAGTACAGAGAAACTAGTGGAGCTTTTAGTGGTGGCATGGGTCTAGAGTGATGTGATGGTTAATTTTCTATGTCAACTTGACTGGGCTAAGTGATATCCAGGTACCTGGTAAAACATTATTCCTGGATGTCTGTGAGTGTCGTTCTAGAAGAGGCTAACATCTGAATTTTTTTTTTTTTAACGTTTACTCATTTTTGAGACAGAGAGAGAGAGCATGAACAGGGGAGGGTCAGAGAAAGAGGGAGACACAGAATCCGAAACAGGCTCCAGGCTCTGAGCTGTCAGCACAGAGCCCGATGCGGGGCTCGAACCCACGGACCGCGAGATCGTGACCTGAGCCAAAGTCAGATGCTTAACCGACTGAGCCACCCAGGCGCCCCTAGAAGAGGCTAACATTTGACTCAGTAGACTGAATAAAGAAGTTTACCCTCACCAGTGTGGGTGGGCAACATCCCAATTCATTGATGGCCTGAAGAGAACAGAAGACTAGTAAAGGGGTGAACTTACTCTTTCCTTAGCTAGGACATCCATCTCTGAATTACCCTACCATCTTTCCTGGGTCTCTCCAGCTTGCAGACAACAAGATTATGGGACTTCTTAGCCCCCATAATCTTGTGACCCAATTCTTATATAATTCTTATATAATATATTGATTGAGATTCTGTTTCTGGTTTTGGTTCTCCGAAGACTCTGGCTCATAAGCTGATAAGCTGAATAAGCCTTCTAATAAGCTATCTGGCTGAACTTCGAGTTTGCGCTGGAAGTTAAGGCTGGCGCTTCTAAGAGGCAAAATGCAATCTCCAGCCTTAGGAAACAAAGAAGAGCAGGGAGAACGGGACAGAAAACAAAGCACACAAGCAGTGAATTGATAACGATGATCTACAGCTCTTTTCACCTGGGTGCACTTAACTTGTTTTGCCTCAGCTGGAGGCTGAAATTCAGGCTTGACCTTGACAAGAGGCTGGTGCAGGAGGCAGAGAAAGCAACAGAGATCTTGTCATTCACGCGGTGCCTGAGTGGCAAAACTGGAGACTTGCAGGCCTTCGACACATAGTCTATTTCTCCGTCACGATATTTGTCAAATTTTAAAGCTTGATGGGATGGGAATGAAAGAGGTGAGCCAAAAACCTGTGACACACCTGAATCTCTCATAAGCTTTCCGTATTGAGACTGAGTAGGCTGTCAGATGAAAGTCTTGGGGGAGGTGCTCCCTAGGAACGGGGACTCTCAGGTAGACCGGGAGTTACCAAAGCTATAATCAAGCCTAATCCTGTTCAATCTCTGATGCAATTTCAGGATCAGTCCTTCACTGTATCTGTCTGACAGGGGAGGACAGCTCCTCTCTGATTAAAAAATATCATTTAGATTTTCCTGTGGTTCCTTTGTATACTGTCCAGTATATGACGAAAAAGTCCTGGATGCACGAAAACGGAAGAAACTTTGAAATGAAGGGGACAGTTCATGGAGATAAAGAGGTCACTCGGTTAAGAAAATATCACAGTTCTAATCGGGGTGCACAAAATGACATAATTTCAAAATATATGAAAGAAATTAGCAAAGCTAAAAGTTCAAATAGGCAAACCTACCAGAAGGGAAGTGGGTGGGGGAATGGGTTATATGGGTGATGGGAATTAAGGAGGGCACTTGTGATGAACACCGGGTGTTGCATCCAAGTGTTGAATCACCACATCGTACACCTGAAAGTAATATTACACTGTATGTTAGCTAACTGGAATTTAAATTTTAAAAGAGGACAAACCTACAATAGAAGTAGGACACTTTAAAACCTATTTTAAATAGCTTGATGAAAGAGCAGACAAAAAAAAATCAGTAAATTTACAAAATATCTGAATAAGACTATGAACAAACTTTACTTAATTGACATGAAAAGCATTGTAACTTACAGTGATAGGATTCTTATGTTGCTTAACAGTACTTGGGAAACTTACCAAAGTGACCATATGACAGACATAAACTTCAAGAAATTTCAAAACATTAAAGTTATTTAGAGCCTGTCTTCTGATGTTGGTGGAATTGAGCTAAAAATAAATAAAAAGATAGCCTCAAAATTGAACAATATACTTATAAATAATCCATGGATCAAAGAGAAATTAAAATGGAAATCAGAAAATATTTTTAACTGAATCATAATGAAAATAAGCCACATGGCTTATTGACCTGTGGGATGAGCCACATGACCTGTGGGATGTAGCTAAAGCAGCATGACGTGGAAATTTGTTTCTTTAGTGCAGATGTTAAAAAAATAAGACAGGAAGACAATCATGACTTAAGCTTCCATTTCAAGAATAACCTAAATTAAGCCTAAGGAAAAGAATAATAAAGATAAGAATAAAAACAATAGAAAACATATAATGAAAATCACTGCCAAAAATCGAATCTTTGAAAACTTTAATAAAATTGATAAAGCCATTGTAAGTCTACACAAGAAAATAGAGAAATATGGATTACCTCTAATCAGGAACAACAAAGGAGACGCCTCTTCAGACCCTACAGCGTTCAAAAAGATCATAAAAGAATATTATAAAGAACTTTTAGCCAATGAGTTTCACAGTTGGGACAGGATGTAGAAATTCATCAAAATATAAAATTTTGTAAAACAGAAGGAGAAATAGACTATCTGAATCGTTCGATATGTATTAAAGAAATTAAATCCGTAAAAACTTTCCTACAAAGAAAACTCTAAGTGCAGATGGCTTCCTTGGTTAATTCTTACACAAAAACCAAGGAGGAAGTAATAATCATCTTTCATAAATTCTAACAGAATGGAAAAAGGGAACACTGTTGATGCAGTCAGCATAATCTTAATACCAAGTGTCAGAAAGGGAATATTATAAACCTGTAAACCAACCTCTCCCATTGAACATAGTTGCAAAAATACCCCAAAATATGTTAGAAAACTGAATTCAATACTTAAAGGGTAATATATAACAATTAAGTGGGGTTAATTCAATGTTTGAAAATCAGTATAATCCAGTACATTAATAGAAAAAGGCAGAACAATCCTCAGATGATCTCAATAGATGTAGAAAACACCTTTGGAAAGCTTTATTCCCATTCATGATACAAAAAAGACTCTCGTTAAACTATGAATGGAAGGGAACATTTTTAAAAATCTTTATGTATTTTGAGAGAGAGAGAAAGCAAAAGGGGGGGAGGAGCAGAGAGAGACGGAGACAGAGAATCCCAAGTAGGTTCCACGCTGTCAGTGCAGAGCTCGAGACAGGGCTCGAACTCACCAAGTGTGAGACTAAACCCCAGAGACACTTAACCAACTGAGGCACCCAGGCGCCTCTGGAAGGGAAATTTTTAAACTTCTAATAAAGAACAGCTACAATGTTGTTTTTGTACTTAATACTGAAAGATTGAAACTTGTACTCCTTGAGATTGGGAAAAAGATAGGGATGTTTGTTATAAGCACTATTATTTAGGGACGCCTGGTGGCTCAGTTGGTTCAGCTTCCAACCTTGGCTCACGTCATGATCTCGCAGTCCTATGAGTTCGAGCCCCACGTCAGGCTCTGTGCTGACAGCTCGGAGCCTGGAGCCTGCTTTGGATTCTGTGTCTCCCTCTCTCTCTGCCCCTTCCCCACTCTTGCGCTCTCTCTCTCTCTCTCTCTCTCTCTCTCTCTCAAAAATAAAGATGAAAAATTTTTTTAAATAAGCACTATTACTTAGTATTTTTTTTTTTTTTATTTTTAAATGTTTATTTACTTTTGAGAGAGACAGACAGACGGAGTGTGAGCAGGCAAGAGGCAGAGAGAGGGAGACACAAAATCCACAGCAGGCTTCAGGCTCCGAGCTGTCAACACAGACCCCAATGCGGGGCTCGAACCCAAGAACCGTGAGATCATGACCTGAGTCAAAGTTGGACACTTAACCGACTGAGCCACCCAGGCGCCCCTATTATTTAGTATTTTAATAAAGACTGTAGCTAATGTAATAAGCCAAGAAAAAGAAATAAAAGTCATAAGCATTAGAAAGGAAGAAATAATACAGTAATTATTTGCAGATGACAAATTAGACATTAAAATAGTCATTAGTGGGTGCCTGGCTGACTCAGTAGAGCATGTAACTCTTGATATCATGGTTGTGAGTTTAAGTCCCATGGGGGGCATAAAGCTTAGTTTAAAAAAAATAAAAATAGGCATTTGTGATTATTTAATTAAATAGTCATTATTTGCAGATGACTGTGTAGTACATAGAAAATCCAAAATAGGGGCGCCTGGGTGGCGCAGTCAGTTAAGCGTCCGACTTCAGCCAGGTCAGGATCTTGCGGTCCGTGAGTTCGAGCCCCGCGTCAGGCTCTGGGCTGATGGCTCAGAGCCTGGAGCCTGTTTCCGATTCTGTGTCTCCTTCTCTCTCTGCCCCTCCCCCGTTCATGCTCTGTCTCTCTGTGTCCCAAAAATAAATAAACGTTGAAAAAAAAAATTAAAAAAGAAAATCCAAAATAATCTACCGACTAATTAGAATTAATAAATGGGGGGCCTGGGTGGCTCAGTCGGTTGAGTGTCTGACCCTTGGTTTCAGCTCAGGTCTGTAGTTCATGAGCTCAAACCTCGTGTCAGGCTCTGTGCTGACAGTGTAGAGCCTGCTTCAGATTCTCTCTTCTCTCCCTCTCTCCCTGTCCCTCTCGCTCTCCCTCTCGCTCTCCCTCTCTTTCTCTCTCTCCCCCCCACCCTTCTGCCCTTCCCCTGCTTATGCTCTTTCTCAGAATAAATTAAATAAAAACTTGAAAAAAAGAGGATTAATAAATGAATTCAGCAGGGTTACTGCATTACATACAAAGGTCAACATACAAATCAATTATATATTTTCATGTACCATAACAAAATTTTAAAACTGTACCATTTATAATAGCACTGAAAAATATTAATTACCTAGGATAAATTTAGCAGAGTGTGTAAAACCTTTGCACTGGAAGCTACAAAATATTATGGAGAAAACTTAAAGAAATCCTAGTAAATGAAGTGATACACAATGTTTATGGACTAGAAGACACAAAGCTGTAAAAACGTGAGTTCTCTTCAAATTAATAGATTCAATCCAGTCCCAAGCAATATCCCACTTAAGATCTTGGAAATTGACAAGCTGATTCTAAAATTTGTGTGGAAATGCAGAAGACCAAAAATAGCCAAAGTAATCTTGAAGAATAGCAAGAAAGTAGGAGGACATATAATACCAGATATCAAGGCCTCTTATAAAGTCACAATAGTTGAGAGATTGGGGTGCCTGGTGGCTCAGTCAGTAGAGTATCTGACTTCGGCTCAGGTCGTGATCTCGCAGTCCGTGAGTTTGAGCCCCGTGTTGGGCTCCGTGATGACAGCTCGGAGCCTGGAACCAGCTTCGGATTCTGTGTCTCCCCGTGTCTCTCTGCCTCTCCCCCACTCACACTCGGTCGCTTTCTCAAAAATATGTAAACATTAAAACAAAAATTTTTAAATAAAATTAAAAAAAAATGGAGAGTGCAGCATTGTTGCAAGGATAGACAGATTTACCGATGAAGAATATAGAGCATCCAGAAACAAACCCACGTGTCAAGGTCACCAGATTTATTACAAAGGGGCACTGCAATGCTATGAAGAAAAGGGATGATCTTTTCAACAAATGGTCCTATAATTAAAGTCTCAAGTTATAAAAATAGTAATTATATTAAAATCAAGATCATGTGTTAACCAAAATCTACCTTTAAGAGTGTGAAAAAGCCAGCCGCGGAATGCAAAGAAGGTATTTACGATACATATTTGTGATGAAGGACTCAATTTAGATGATATCGAGAATCTTTTGCAAATCAACAAGAAAGTCACTCAATTAATAAATGGGGGGGAAAACGGGAGAAAGACTTGAACACATCTTCCAAAAGAAGAAATTCAGATGTCCAGTGAACATACGAGTAGATAGTTAACTTCCTTATCAGAGAAATCCAAATTCATACCACAATAAGATACCATTAGCAGGATGGCTAAGGTGAAAAGAGATGGAAAATGAAAAGTATCGGTTAATATGTGGAGCACCCAGAACTGCTGCTGGGAATGTAAGTTAGTGCAACCACTTTGGAAAACTGGTTCTGAACCAGTTCAGATCCTATTTTACCTAGTTATTTCAGTCTCCGGGATAAACCGAGATGAAATCACCAAAGACATGCTCTAAGGTCCACAGGAGCATTCTTTGAGTAGCCCTCAACCTGGAAGCTATCTCCTTGCCTACTGGCAGTAAAATGGATAAATCAGTTGTGTTACATTCACATGATGGAATATTACTCTGCAACAAGAATGAGCGTTCTGCAACTGCCACTATTGTGGCTGATTCTCGCAATGGTTATTTGAGTGAAGGAAGCCAGATATAAAAGCATATATACAGTCTAATTCCATTTATATAAAGTACCAAAGTAGGCAAAATCGTCATTAGAAGGTTGTAACCGTTGGGGTGGGGGTGGATGTGACCAGCAGGAGACATGAGAAAGGCTTCTGGGATTTTAAAAAAAATTTTTTTAACGTTTATTTATTTTTGAGACAGAGACAGAACATGAGTGGGGGGAGGGTCAGAGAGAGAGGGAGACACAGAATCTGAAACAGGCTCCAGGCTCTGAGCTGTCAGCACAGAGCCTGACACGGGGCTCGAACTCACAAACCACGAGATCACGACCTGAGCCGAAGTCGGACGCTTAACCGACTGAACCACCCAGGCGCCCCAAGGCTTCTGGGATTTTGATAATGTTTTGTTTCTTCATCTGGATGCTGATCATATGTTGTTCGTGGGAGTTCATTGAGCTGCATGCTCAATGTGCACTTTTCCTGTGTTGTATATTATCCTTCAATAAGAGAGGTTTAAAAATGCAATGATCTTTGTGTTTTAAATTATCTTAGTTCTTGAGTGTGTCTTCTCATTGGCTCAGAGTTACCCCCAGAGAGCTTCCAAGACTACTCTCACTCATAGTCTAGCATTTGGCTGCCTGTCTTTGCTTTTCAGTTGAGACTGGGGGCCAGCCAGAACTGGGAGTTCAATTCAAGAACTTAGTTAACCCAAGTGGGGAGGACAGGAAGGGTTAGAGGAGGAGGAGGAAGGAGGGAGAAGGGGAGGGTGAATACACGGTGAGTGTAGGGATGAAAGAAAACTTGTCCACTTGTGGGTGTAAACGAAAGGGACCCCTGTTATCAGGAGGTCCCGAGGATTGGTATTGGTGCAAGCATTTCTCTTTCATTGGAATTTATTCTTAAAAACTTCGTGAATGGTTACTTCTAGAGATTAAAATAAGGTGCGAATTGTAAATTTCTTCACTTATTTACAAACGAATAAGGCTTGTAAATAAGTGATAGTTTGAGTATAGTAACAGCTGACGTCTTGTATCTCTTCTGTTTTTTCTTTCCTTAGACACCAATAGTCAAAAATCATAATTTGCTTAGTAAATTCTTTTCATTTCTAAATACCTCTATCCAGGTTGAGTGAATACGGATTATTGAGAATATGATTAATGAATTTTTCCCATAAGAAGTGTTTTTATAAGTTTTTTTTTTTTCAGGTGGTATGTTATTTTGTTATGATATTTCAACGTACCAGAGTAAAGAAGGCAAACCATTGAATCGACTGATGGCCAGTAGAGGGCGAAGTTTCAAGCAGACCTCGCTTGCTCTTGTGCATGAGGTAGGTGCCTTGCCTTACCTGTAATTTAATGTGTGTTTGGAAATAATTTTTCTCTTTATCATGATTAACGTAAGTTGCTTTTAAAGGCAACCGACGGGGTGGCTCAGTCGGTTAAGCGTCCAACTTAGCCTCAGGTCACGATCTCACGGCTTGTGGGTTCTAGCCCCACATGGGGCTCTGTGCTGACAGCTCGGAGCCTGGAGCCTGCTTTGGATTCTGTGTCTCCCTCTCTCTCTCTGCTCCTCCTCCATTCATGCTTTCTCTCTCTCTCTCTCTCTCTCTCTCTCTCTCTCTCTCTCTCTCCCTCAAAAATAAATAATAAAACATTAAAAAAAATTTTTAAGGCAATCACAATAGTTGACCCGATTCACTACTAAAATATTTGGATGTGTTTCTGAAAGAAACTAGCACGCTTCTCCCATTGCCCAGCCTTGTTATTAGGGAGTGGTACGTACAAATTTGGTTTATTTCATTGTTGTTAAACTCTTATTGTTCAGAATAAATGCTATAATAAGTTTATTGTTTAAAGAAATAATCTTGCCTATTTCTTAATTTGAATCCTTTGCAAGTATGTAGGGCACCAGTGTTTATGTATGGTGTGAATTTTGGGAATGAACAGTAAATAAAAGTGTTTAAGGGGGGAGAAAAACCCTTTGGTTTTAGTGTTTATTCTATTTTTTTTAGGCTACCCTTTTATTTTTTAATTAAATTAAATTTAATTTTAAAGTTTATTTATTTCAAGAGAGAGAGAAAGAGTGTGAGCCAGAGAGGGGCAGAGAGACAGAGAGAGAGCATCCCAAGTAGGCCTCACGCTGTCAGCACGGAACCTGGTGCAGGGCTCAGTCTCACAAACTGTGAGATCGTGGCCTGAGCTGAAATCAAGAGTTGGACGTTTAACAGATCGAGCCAACCCGGCGCCCCTAGGCTACCCTTTTAGAATAAAGTTATGTGATGCCATGAGACGATTTATATAAAGTCTGATCATTGCAGATCATAACAACACCAGAGGGAAGAGGGAGGCTAGACAGCACATGGGCAGTGTGTATTTTGGTGTTATCTTTGCACGTTTTGTGACAGTTACTTGTTCGGGTGTGTATAAATTAAAATATATAAATGAATAACAAAATATAGCAAAGAAGCTTATTTTATATAATTAAGACATGATAGGTTAACATCAGTCAGTTATAAATGAAGATAAAAATTGTGAAGCATGTAATAGTTTGATGTCAAATTAATTAGAGCTCCTACTGGATGTTTGTACTAAATCTCATTTTGGTGCATAATTTATATATCTTGGCATCACAGAGTTTCGTTGGATTATATTCTGCATCCTACCAGTTAGCATAGCCAGTTTTTAGAGACCTATATTTATCCTATGCAACCGTGTTCTTTCATATATTCAATTAGAGTTGAAATTATGTAAATACTTGGTTCAAAGCCTTTTTAGTCTAATTCAGTGTCTTCACTTAACTGAGGAGGGAATGAAGATCCGGGAAGAAAAGAGGTTTAATTTCATGAAAGAGAGAACGTAGGTGATTTCTAGATTTGTTTTCCCTGACATCTTATTACTTGGCTATGGAGAAGGTAGAGTTTGGTACCTTTTTGTATTTTTACGCTGTGCACCTAGGAGATTGAAGGATAACCACAGTGTTAAGTATTAATGGAAAGCTCACTTTAAAAGTCACCATCAGAACAGAAACAATAAAAATTGTTAACACAGGGAATAACAGAAGGCAATCTAGTAAATTCAGCAAATGGCATCAGAATTTATGGGGTGTGGCTTGGATATGAACAGAGAAAATATTTGGATTAAAATGCTTGTTGCTTGTCTTGTAGACGCCTAGAAAATTTCAAAGAGATGAGAAAATATTTTATTTATTTTCATATTTATTATTTATTTATTTATTTATTCATTTGTTTATTTATTTTGAGAGAGAGAGAGAGAGAGAGAGCATGTGCACTCAAGCAGGGAAGGGGCAGAGAGAGAGAGAGAGAGGCGCAGAGAGAATCTCAAGCAGGATCCACACTGTCAGCGTAAAGCCCAGTGCGGGGCTCAAACTCACAAGCTGTGAGATCATGACGTGAGCCAGAATCGAGAGTTGGACACTTAACTGACTGAGCCATCCAGGAGCCCCGAGAAATCATTATTTTACAAGTCAGTTAGAAGATATATTGGATAGAATTTTGTCAAACCTGTGGTGGGATTTTTGTTTGAATTCATCCTATTGTAATTCATTTAAAAAAAAAAAAGGCAGAGATAGAGAATGAATCATCCATTTTCTCAAACTAGGCAACAACAAATAAGAGTTTTAAGATCTGGTTAATCAGAATAATAATTGAAATAATAATAGCTAATAACCAGCTCAGGCGTTTTAAAAATTGCCGTGTGTGTGTGTGTGTGTGTGTGTGTGGCAATTTATATATATAAATATAAATTCCTTTTTTTTTTAAATTTTTTTTCAACGTTTTTTATTTATTTTTGGGACAGAGAGAGACAGAGCATGAACGGGGGAGGGGCAGAGAGAGAGGGAGACACAGAGTCGGAAACAGGCTCCAGGCTCCGAGCCATCAGCCCAGAGCCTGACGCGGGGTTCGAACTCACGGACCGTGAGATCGTGACCTGGCTGAAGTCGGACGCTTAACCGACTGCGCCACCCAGGAGCCCCCCCCTTTTTTTTTAAATGTGTATTCTTTTTTGAGAGAGAGACAGAGTGTGAGCAGGGGAGGGGCAGAGAGAGAGGGAGATACAGAATGGGAAGCAGGCTCCAGGCTCCAAGCTGTCAGCACAGAGCTTGATGTGGGGCTCGAACTCACAAACCGTGAAACCATGACCTGAGTCAAAGTCAGACGCTTAAGTGACTGAGCCACCCAGGCACCCCTATATATAAATTCCTTTAATCTCTACATTGACACTGTGAGGTTGGTACAGCTATTGTGCTCGACATCACAGAACTAGTAAGTGGAGGAGCCTGGAAACTGATCCCAGCAATGTGACTCAGGGTGGTCCTTGAACTACGCTCCCTAGTCCCAGGTTAAGCAGAGAACATTTAAAAAATACCTTTGGATCTTCCCAAGATGACTCTAGTATTTGCTTTGTTGCAGTCATTTTGGTATTATTACAGCTGAAGTTCCTTCAGACTTGCCTTGGGTTTCTCATCACTGCTTCTGGGTCTTTTTATTTAAAAAAAAAAAAAAAAAAAAAGTCTGTCGTGAGAGTTTCAGTTGGTTTATTCAGCCGTTGATGGACCCTTGGGTTGTTTCCAGCTTTTGGCAATTATGACTGAAGCTGCTATAAGCAGTTCTCGTAAGGTGTACGTGTGGACATCTGTTTTCATGTCTTTTTGAGTAAATAAAGACATAGGCTTGGGCTTGCTAAGCCATCTGGTAAGTGAATATAAGAAACTAGCAAACTTTTCCTGGTGACTGTCCCATTTTGAGTCCCCGCCAGCAATGGAAGGGAGTCCCGGGTGCCCTGCCTCTTTGCCCATGCGCAGTATGACCAGTTTCTTAAAAGCTAGCCGTTCTCATACGTGGATAGTGGTTTCTCTTTGTGGTTTTGTGTTTCCTTAATAACTATTGATGTTGAGCATGTTTTCATACATTTTTTGCCATTCATATCTTCCATGAAGCATTGTGTTGTTTTACCTATTTTTTTTTTTTAAAACCAGGTTATTGTTTTCAAATGAGAGTTCCTTATATATTCTGGCATAAATTCTTTCTTAGAAATGTGTTTTGCAAAAAAAATTTTTTATACTGAATCTGTATACTTGTCTTTTTATTTCCTTGGCAGTGTCTTTTAAAGAGCAAATTGTTAGCTTTAACGAATTCCAGTTTATCAAGTTTTTCTATTTATGTTCTTGCTTTCTCTCCAACCCAAAGCCTCAAAGATTTTGTTTTTTCATCATACCAAAAAGAAATTCTGTACCTATCAGCAGCCACTCTCCATTCTCCTCTCTCCCTAGCCTCTAGCAACCACTCATACACTTTCTGTCTTGATAGATCTGCCTAGTTTGAACATTGCATGTAAATGGAATCATGCGATATGTGGTCTTTTTTGTCTGATTTCTTTCACTTAGCATAATGTTTTCAAAGTTTGTACTTGCGGTCACACGTATCAGTACTTTATTTCTTTTTATGGCCTAATAATATTCCATTGTAGGGACATACTATATATAGTTTATCCATTAGTCACTTGATGATCTCCTGTGTTTACTTACAGAAGTCTTACAGTTTACATTTCAGCCTACGACTGTGTAACTTAACTTTTCACAAGGTATGGGTTGTATTTTTTGAATGTACCACTCTTTCTTCACCAAGGCACCTTTGTGGAAAATCATTTGTCCATATGTGTGGGTCTATTTCTGCACTCAATTTTTTCCCATTGATCTATATGTGTGTGCTTTAAATCAAAACCATACGGCTTAATTAGTGTTGCTGTATAAGAAGTCTTGAAATCAAGCAATATGAGTCCTCCAATTTTGTTGTTTTAAAATTTGACTGTCTTAAGCCTTTTGCCTTTCCATGTAAATTTTAAATCAGCTTTGAGAAACCACAAAAAACAAAAAAAGCGTCAGCTGTAATTTTGGTTAGAGAGGTATTGAATCTGTGTAGATACATTTGGGAGAGAATTGACAGCTTACTAATATTGAGTCTTTGAACTCATGCACAGGGTATAGCTTTCGATTATTTTAGGTCAGTGTTTTACTACAAATCTTGTGCGTATTTTGTTAAATTTAATGAGTATTGTGTGTCCCTAAGTATTTTGATGCTAGTGCCTCAAAGTGTTTTTTTTATTGGTCTTAATTTCCAACCGCTCCTTGCTAGTATATAAACATATAATGGATACTTTTCTATGACTTTACTAAACCTACTTATATATTCTTGTTACTTTTTTGTAGCTTTTTGTTTTTCATGGTAACATTGTGTGTAGAGATGGTCTTAATTTTTTTTTTTTTTTCTTATCGGTGTGCCTTTCATTTCTTTTTCTTGTCTTTTTGCCT